TCTGCCCACCGACCCACGACATCCCGGGTTGAGGTCAGCAGCACACCCCCTCCCCTATAAACAGTGTTGGTGGTGTGTGGCCCCCCCCCCCCCCCCCCCCCCCCAGATGCCAGATGGTTGACCAGAATCACCTCGAAGCTGCATGGAAGTCATTCTCCATGGCCTCTCCAAACTGTTGTGGGCAGCTTTTGGAGTATTGTACAGCTGACCCCCGTTTGCTCTGCTGAGCAGCTTGGTTTTGAATCTGACTCTGGTTGTTCACTTTGGAAAATTGTATTTGGTAATCTAAAAAAGTTAAATCTGGTCCTCTGGACATTCAAAAAACAAAACAAAGCAAAACAAACAAAAAAAAAGTAGAAACGTTTGTCTTTCATCCGAAAGACTTCTTCAGTCTGAGGTGCTGTATTCAGCTCAGTCTTATAAATAGCACCTTCTCAGAGTGGATCAACCAGTTTGCTGCTGACAACCAAAACCAGCTGCTCACATGGTCAAGAAGGACCATCAGCCTAACAAAGGATCATTAGCACACTGATGGCTGTTTACTATTCACTGGGAGCTGAGGGATACTAGCAATCACAGCATTGTAAGAGGGGGACAGTTGAACATGCGTTGCATCGTGAAGAGCAACATCATCAGGCCAGGACTCTGAGGTCTACACTCATCTACAGGCCAGAGGTCACTCTTTCAGGGATGAAGATGTTCACATCCTGGATAGAGAGGAATGATGGTTTGAGAGAGGAGTAAAGGAGGACATCTTTGTGAAAAGAAATCTTCCATCATTAAACAGGGGCGGATGAAAGACGAAACATTTCTACACTTTTTTGTTTTGCTTTGTTTTGTTTTATTGAATGTCCAGAGGACCAGACTTAACTTTTTTAGATCTTCTGTTGGGGGTACCGCAGGGGTCCATCCTCAATCCACTTCTCGTTTCTTTATTAAACCTGCTGCCACTAGGTGCTAATTTCCGTAAACATAACATACCCTTTCATTTCTACACTGATGACTGTCAAATCTACTTCCTTCTGAAGCACACCAGTCCACATTCTATTCAATCTCTTCTTGACTGTCTGGCCGACATCAGGGACTGGATGTCTTTAAATTACTTACCATACAGCTATTTGGAGTTTCCGTCAGAGGAATATGCCAGCGAAACTTTAAAAGGCAGAAACAGCAATTCACGAGTTCTGCCTGACCCAAAACTGTGGCCTTGATGGTGGACTTATCTCAACTCCTCCTGACATGTTTTGAAAAAACAAAAATGCTTTGTCTGTCTCCTCACCCCTCCCTTCTCCAAGGCCGTGGACATGTGATGGAACCTCAACCGAGCTGATGATAAATAACACCTTTTACCTGGACAATGGCTG